GGCCTGGAGCCCAAAGCACGGCTGGCGGTATCATCCGTCTCCGAGTGATTTCACGGTCGGATAGTGCGATCCGATTTTTTGACAAGGGCAGGCGATCGGCAGCTACAAGAATTGCTCAATTTTGACCTTTTTGTTCTGATTGGCTCTTACCAGGTTTCAGAAAGCCAATAGAATTGAATATGCGAGTTCCAGGAAGCAGTTCAGAAGAAAAAGGAGCATTATAAGCTTCGGTTGTCCTAACTTCAAATCCCAAAATAGAACTTACTATAAACCATACCAAGAGAGAGAGAGAATCACCCCTAAGCCTAAATTATTGGACGATTGAAGATCTACCTGGACAAAAATCCTTTGACGGGCGTGGTTACTTACGTTTTCTCGACTTCCGGTGACGATGGCTTCCTAAATCGGACTGGTCTGTTGACGGCGTGCCGCTGCGACCCATTGCATCCAGTGCTTCCTCATCCTGCCGCTGGCCTCTTCGCCGTCGTTTCAGCGTATGGTCCGCAGCACCCGCGTCCTCCTCTTCCAACTCATTGGCGCGTGGATCGAAAGGACCACGGAAGGAGGAGGCAGTGGTGTCGCTGACAGAGGGGCTGCCCTCTTGATGTGTGGGCGATAGAACTGGCTTCCTTTTGTTCTTCTGAACACTGTCCTTTCCTGAATGTTAAAGTAGTGTATAGGCAGGCATCAAGCGGACTACTGCACTGCAGAAGGAATACATGCAAACCGGTACAGAGGCAAATAACTTGCAAGCTTTCAGTTGCCAGTCAGCGCCGGTGCTACTACCTGCTGAATCCCACAAAGAAAGATAAGACTGTGGGCTTTAACAGACTATTTGCAACTCCTCTCTCACCCCGTCAACAAAAGAACAGGCATGCCCTTAAGCCCTCATCATGTACTGTGACAGCAGATTAAGCTATAGGTCAGAGCCTGGCAATTACGCTCCCCGGGCCCTATCTCCAAAAGAAACAAAAAGAAGTTGTTGGATGCCAGTGGCAAGGGTACTCCATTCTGCGCAGAAAGATTAGAGAACAGGTTGGAACAAGAAAGACGTGTGGCAAACAGTCAGCAATGCTGACCGGCTTCCTCATCCAATGCCAGCTGCTTCAACGTCACGCATCTTTGCAGGCAGCTATTTGCGACTCGT